TTTGTGAGTAGGGGTTGTGATATTCTTCCTACTTGTAGCCCCAGTGCCTAGCACAGTAGGCATTTAGTAATTGCTGCTTGTTTGGTGATTAATTCGGTTTATCTTTGAGCACTTGGGCAGCACTTTGAGGGGGGGGGAATGACATCATCTGCCGTGTGCTGCAGCTGACTGATGCCTACCATTGCTTTCCATGGTTCTCTTTCGTGTGTTTTAAACATGTTTTTGTTGATGTCTGTTGTGGTTTTTTTAAAGAATCTCCATAATTTCCCTGAGTATCACTCCTTCCCCCCCACCCACCCAGAGCCATCCCATACAACATACAGTGTTTTTAGACAGAAAAAAGGGGGGGAGGAACAGTATAACTGTTTAATATGTCAACAAAGCATGAAAATATGTACAACGTTCAATAATTGTGAGCCTTCCACCTCTGCAAAGGCTTGGGAGGCAAAGTGTCTTCTTATCTCTTCTCTGAGCCACGTTTACTCTTTCAATAATTTGGCGGTGATTTCCATTTCCATTGTTTTCAATATGTATCTTCTTTTATTGGCTGTATTTACATCACTTATGCATCAGTTCTTGTAGATCTTCCCATGTTTCTCTGTGTTCATCATATTTGTTGTTTCTTACAGCTAGTCATATTCTGTTACATTCCTGTACCACCGTTTGTTTAGCCATTCCCAATCAATGAACATCTACTTCATTTCTGATTCTTTGCTATTGCAGAAAAGTGCTTCTGTAAAATTTTGGTATATATGGAGAATTTCTTCTTATCATAATTGACTCCCTTGGGATACAATCCCAGTAATGCAGTCTCCGTTTCAAAGGTTATAGACATTTTTGGCCTTTTATTGTCCCAATTCTAAATTGTTTTCCAGAATTCTTGTTTATTTCACAGTTCCACCAACAAAGTATTAGTGTGCCTATCACTCCACAATCACTCCAACATTGTTACCATTTTTTGCTATCTTCATCAATTTTCAGAATGTGAGATAAAATCTCATAGTTGTTCTGATTTGCATTTCTTTTATTATTAGTGATTTATAGCATTTTTCATGTGGTTGTGAATACTTTGAAGTTCTTTTGAGAACTGTTTTTTTTTTTTCATATCCTTTGACCATTTATCTGTTGGGGAATGGCTATTGGTCCTATGTAAAGTTGTTATCTGTTTACATGTAAGATACCAAACCCTAATCAGATATATTTGATACAGAGGTGTTTTTGTTTTTTGTTTTTTGATTTGTTTGTTTGTTTTCCTATTTGACCATACCCTTTCTTACGCTGGGAGCATTAGTTTTGCCTGTGCAGAAGCTTTTTAATTTCCTATTCTCTAAATGCCTTAAAGGAAATTCAAGTAGGTCCATTTCCTTGTCTGTTGTTGAAAAGAGGGCTCAGAGCAGCCGGCTCAGTAGTCATAAAGCTCGTTGGAAAGAACAACCACACAGACATTAAGGGGACATGGTCACTAAGTTATCAAGACTCAGCTTTGAATGTAAAGAGTGTCTGGGGTTTACCCATTCTGCTCAACAGATTAGAACATTTCCAGCTAGTTAGATTCTCAGAGAAACTTCTAAACTGGAGGAACAGGGTATCATCGCAAATTAAGCATCCAGGGAAGCACTTCCCATGGAAAAAGAACATTCGTCTGCTCGCAAACTCTCTCATGCCCACTATGGTTCTCTTCCTCTCCTTCCCCTGTCTCTGTCTCTTCACCTTCTTTTCCCTTTCTTCCTCAATCTTATCTCCCTCCACCTCTCTCTCTTCCTCCTTTCTCTTCCCACCTTTGTCTCCCTTCCCCCTTTGTCTCCTCTCCTCTCTCCTCCCATTTCTCATTCTTTCCCCTTTTCTCTCTCTTCTCCCCTTCTCCCTCTCTTCTTCCCCTCCTCCTTTTTCTCTTTTCTTCTCTCTCTCTCTCTCTCCCCCACCTCTCTCTTCCTCCTTCCTCTCTCCCCACTCCCTCTATCCCCCATTTGTCTCTCTTGTCTCCCCCCTCCCCTTCTGTCTTCTCTCTCTCTTCTCCCACTCTCTCATTTTTTCTTTTGCCCCCTTATCTCTCTTTTCCCTTTCTCTCTCTTCCTCCTTCCTCTCTTCCCTTTCTTTTTCTTCTCTCCTTTCTCTCTCTTCTTTCATCTCTCTCCCCACCTCTCTCTTCCTCCTCCCTCTCTCCCCACTCCCTCTATCTTCCATGTGTCTCTCTTCTCTCCTCTTCTCTCCCCCTTCCCTTCCTGTCTTCTCCCATCTCTTCCCCTTTTATATGACTTCACCTTTCAATGCTCTGGGCACCTCTCTAAGACCATCACTCTCAGGGCAGGCACTGATCTGCCCTGGTAGAAATCATTCTTCACCTGAAGCTCTCTGTGCTGTTGAAACTACAGATTCAGTAAAAAATCACCACAACAACAGCTCATTAATGGAGGACTTTAAGGTTTACAAAGTGCTTTCTTCCCAATGGACTTAGGAGTTAGGTAATACAATTATCACTATCCTCATACTATATGTGAGGAAACTGTAACTTGGAGATGAATGCTCTGTCATCATTCATATAGTGAGTATTTTATATTTTCTGTTTACATGCTGAGTGTTTTACGTGGGCTATCTCCTCTGAGCCTCACCACAAACCTAGGAGGTAAGTACTGTTATTATCCCTATTTTTCAGATGAGGAAACTGAAGCAAACAGGGGCCAAGTGACTTGCCCAACACCACACAGCTAGTAAGTATCTGAGGCTGGATTTGAACTCAGTCTTTCCTCGTTCAGGGCTTTATCCATTGTGCCCTCAGCTGCCTCCAGCCCAGTGCCAGGATGGGTATGAATTTGGGAAATTCCACTTCTAAGAAAGAGGTTGTGAAAACAGCTATGTATGGTAAAAACTCCAAACAAAAGCTGCCTGGAGGGTAGTGGAACAGTGGGATGCATTGACAGGCAATACAGTGTCGTAGACATCCTACTGGACTTGGAGTCTCAAAACCTTCAAATTCCATCTCTGATGTTTACTGACTTAGGAGCATGGACGAGTCATCTCACTTCCCTAGCCTCAGTTTCCCCATCTGCCAAATAGAGGCGATGGTGCTGATGCTTCCTTCTTTACCTTATATATAAGGAAAAAGGCCTGTAGATCTTAACATGCTGTAGAATACTAATGATAATTACAATAATTATGAATTAGCTAGCATTTGTATAGCATTTTAAGGTTTGCCAAGTACTTTATAAATATCTTACTTCATCCTCCCCACCACCCTGTAAGATCATTCCTATTTTACAAATGGGGAAACTGAGGTTTAGAAAGGACAAATGACTTCTCCAGGGTCACACAGCTATTAGGAGTCTGGGGTAGGGTTGAACTGGAGTCTTCCTAACTCCTGGTCAAGCATTCTACCCACTGCACCCCATCACTGCCAAGAGAATCATAAATGTGGAGCTGGCAGGAACTTGAGAAGTCGTTAAATCAAATACAGTCTAACATTTTACAGATGAAGAAACTGAGGCCCAGAAAGGTGAAGGGACTCACCTAAGGTCACAGAGGTATTAAAAGGCAGAGCCACTCTTTAAACCTGGGCCCTTTGACTCTAAATGCTGTGCTCTTTCCTCTGAAAACAGCAATCATGTCCTGCTCTGGTTTTCTTTCCTCTCTAGGATAAATGCACTCCCCCAAACACACACATCACACACACACACACACACACACACACACACACACACACACACACACAGCTTCTTCAAATCCTGAACCAAAGGTCTGTGGCTTCAACTCTGGCTTCTTTCCAGAAAGCTCTTGTTGAATATCTTTATTTCCATGGTAACTCTGCTCACATGCCTTGTGGACCTACTTAGGGCCCTGACACCCAATCTCCTTGGAGTTTTGGATGACCCGTTGAGTTTAGATAAATAGATGGTTAGATGATGGATATACAGAGAGGTACATGGATGATGGATGGATAGCTAGGTAGGGAGATAGATCAATAGATGATGGCCAGATAGGGAGAGAGAGAGAAAGAGAAAGATGGATGAGTGGGTGGTAGAGATAAATAAATGATAGGTAGGTAGGTGGATAGATGGACAGATAGGTACATAGATGATGGGTGGATAGCTAGATAGGTAGATAAATAGATGATAGACAGATAAGTATATAGATGGATGGGTAGCTCACTAGGTAGATAAATAGATGAGGGGGGGAGAGAGAGAGAGAGAGAGAGAGAGAGAGAGAGAGAGAGGGGTAGATGGTAGAGATAAATAGATGATAGATAGGTAGATAGATGGATCATTTATTAAGCACCTAACCATTTTCTAGGCACTATACTACAAATACAAGCAAGTAGGATGGCCTCTGCCCTCAAGAAACTTATATTCTAATGAGGGCAAGACAGCACAGAAAGGGGAACTGGAAGACAAGGTGGAGTATGGAGGCTGGCAGAATTTGGAGATAGCCAAGAAGTGTGAGGGAGAAGCTTGGATCTGACAAGTTAGGGTGAAAACTCCCCAATCAGACCCAAGGGTGATTCTGAGGGCAGAGTCCAAGGTTCCTTTGCTTTTACCACATGATTTGAAAGGACTCAGGAGTCCAGCACTGTTTATGTTTGTTTCTCCCATTAGAATGGAAACCCCTTGAGGTCAGGGACTGTCCTACTTGCTTGTGTTTGTATCTCCAGCACTAATTATTATTCCTGGCATGTAGTAAATGCTTTATAAATTTTACCTAACATAATATGTATTATAGAACATACACATATAACATGTGGACACATGCATGAACATATATGTGTGCATACACATACATACCCATCTATCTATATGGCTTCCTGCTCTACTTATGGATTTGTCTCTTCCTCATTCCATGTTCTCCCCTCTTGCATAGCTTAGAAAGGAAAAGCAATTTCTTCCCTTCTTGCATTTTCAAACTGATGCCCCTTGAGGACAAGCATTTTTTTTTCTTTTCATCCCCTCATACCCAGTACAGGGCCTGGTATACAGTAGGAAATTAATGAATGTTCTTTGGTTGTTTGACAGCTACTGAAGACCCTATGAAGGTTCATGGGATGGACCCCAGCAAGCCCATGACTCATCTAGAAACTTTATACCTGCTACCTGTGGCAGTTCCAGTAATGACTGCTGAAATCACTCTCATCAACCTCTGGGTTAAGGGAAGAGGCAGGATTCTTAGATGTAGACCTACAATATCTATCGCCAAACACTCAGATCCATACATTATTCTGTAAAGAGTTCTGGACTTGAAGGCAGAAGACCTCAGTCTGAAGCTCATGTGGCATCATGGGAATCACATATGAAACCAGGGTTCAAATCCCAGCAGAGCCATAACCAAGGTGGGACAGATAGGGCTTTGCTTTGAGCAAGTGACTTTTTTTTGGACCCAACCTGTGATTTCACTGGTTTGTGTCACTCCCTATACCGATGTAGAACGGTGCATGCTCTGTGACTTGCTATGTTAAGAGTTGCCACAATGGCCCCAGAGGCATTGAGACAGCAGATGCTTGTCTCAACCCTGAAGAGTGATGGAGGAGGGTTAGGTATACCAAGGTCTGTGGAAGTCAGAACTAGGGACTACCTGCTGTCCTTCCATCCCCAGTGCCTCTTACAGCCTTGCACACAGTTGGTGCTTAATAAATACTCGTTGATGGTGTCTTTCTTCTAGGGGCTTTGCTTCCAGCACTCTGGGCACCTCCCACCTAAGCAGAGGCTGAAGAGGAGGATCCAGGTACCTGGGCCTAGGGGAAGGCAGTCAGGGGGTGGGGGATTAACCCTGGGCCTCTCCTCGCTGGCGCCCCCCATGGGTGCCTAGGAAATTCAAATACAATTGACCGTTGCTTTCCTGCCTCTCAATCCATATTCAAAAATTCTTAATTATAGTTGGAGCTTTGGTTCTCCTGGGGAAACAGCCTGTGCCCAGAAAGCAGGGGAAAGGGTATTGGCTTTGGAGGAGGAGGAACTGGTTTCATGTTCTGACACTTACTGCCAATGCCACCTTTAAAAAGCCATTTAATTTGTCTCGGCCTCAGTTTCCTCATGGAACGAGTTGGGGGTGGACCAGATGGTCACCAAGGTTCTAGGTCTATGATCCCCATGACTTCTGTCACATTGAGTAAATTGCTACGCCTCTCTCTGGGTCTTAGTTTTCCCATATATAAAATGAAGACCAGATGACCTCTGAGGCCCCTCATAACTGTAGAACTCTAATCCCTTTAACTTTGAGCAAGCCACTAAACCGTTCTATGACTAGTTTCCCCATCTGTACAATGAGAGGCTTAGCGTAGATGGTCTCTGAGGTCCCTTCTAGAGCTATGGTCCCTATGACCTGTCAGACTTTGGACAAGCCACTTCTCCTCTCTAGGCCTCAGTTTCCCCACCTACAAAATGAAGAGGTTGGACTGTGAAGTTGGGCTTCTGAAGTCCCTTTGTTAAGGAAATAAATCCCTAAGGCCAGATTTACCAAGAACAAGCCTTTACTGCAATATTGCTGGGAAGAGAGACCCCAGGCCAGAATCCAGAACGAACATTCTCTCCCCAAAGACTAGGAGTCACAGAGAGGTTTTTTAATATATTCCAAAGCGAACAAAGATTATCCACCAACACCTTTAACAGCTTACAGAGAAAAACCAGATACAACCAAGAAGCGAGGGGGTGGGGTATAGCGGCGGCACAGTTAATTCTCTCGAGCAGCTGACTTCCAGGCTGAGAAGCATAACCTGAAGGAAAAATAAAGGAGCATTCCAAATTTCAAATAATATTTGCAACTCTAATAATCGGTCTACTGCCTCTTCGAGGTGAGTCTTACTACTCAATTAAGATTGAGAACTATTTTTTTTTAAATTTTGGCATCAATTTCACCCTTTGGGGGAAAGAGAAAGAGAGAGGAAAAGAGAGGAAAAGGGAGGAGAGTGGAAAGGAGGGGGAGAAAGAGAGAGAGACAGAGAGAGAAAGAGAAAGATCTCCTCAAAAGATTTGTAGCCAGGGGCTCAAAGACCATTTGTATAAGACTCTTCATTGATGGAGATTGATTGACTCAATGTTCCATGCCTTCATGAGGCACAGAGTTCGAGAGACCTTTAGAAAGGAGAGATCCTGGTCTTCTGGCTTCCAGCTTCAAGATGCTTGGTTCCAGATTCTCTTCCAAGAGAGGTCCATCCCTGAAAGGAAATAAAGACTCTGGGAGGAAGCCAACAGGTAGAGACACCCACATCTCAATCACATCCCCAACCCCAATTTGCTAGAAACTTCGGGGGATTTCACATTGGGTGAGATCTGGGACTCTCTTTCTTGGTTGAGCTGAGATGTCTCACTCCCAGTGGGAGAACTCATTCACTCTGTTTGTTTAGTGTACTCTCATTTGTATACCTTCTCTGATTTCTGTTTGCCATCAGCTTGGATAAATGGGTTTATTTGCTATTTACTATATGTGTTCTGTGTGCAACTGACATTTGGTTGAGAAGAGAGTCAAGCCTTAGATAGTACCTGGAGAGCTCCTTCCCTGTTAAGAGATACTGATCAGGAGTGCAGCTTGAACCTAACATTTATTTCTACCCTCCAGAAGTTGGTAAACTATACCCCCTTATTTTTTGTACTTTTAAGCTATGAATTATTTTTAAATAGAAAGAAAAACTTTATTTAGAAATATAAAAACCATTCTTTGAGCTGAACAAAAGAGGGGAATGGAGTTTACCAACCCCTATCCTGGAATAACAATATTGGGGGGCAGGTAGGTACCCTGCCTCTCTGAGGAGAGTAGAGTGATCAGCTTTGTGGCCCCAAATTCGTTTCTTCCTTCTGGCAGTAATCAAAGTCTCCCTTGAAGAAAGGTGTGCAGAGAAGATTCTAGAAACAATTATGCCTCTCTGTGAGCCTCATCTAGACAGACCCCCGTGGATGCATGTAACGTACATGGACAACACACAAACACATAGATGAACAGATGTGAGTGTTCCAATTCATTTTTCTTCTTATTGTGTATTTTTTTGAATATTTGCTACATCATAATTCTAGCTTCAGGTTTTAAGAGGATGGGAATGTTCCTGCAAAGTAGGAAGATAGGAAAATCATAGCCATAGCTTCATTTTAAGAGAGCTTTAAGGCTTGCAAAGTACTCTATTAGCATCCTCATTTTGCAAGTGAGTTAACTTAGGCTGAGAGATAATGTGACTTGTCCAAAGCCACACAGCTAGCAAGTATGTTAGGCAGGTTTGAAACCCAGATCTTCCAGACCTAAAGTCAAGTGCTCTAAGCCAAAGAGAAAGGAGATGGCAGTTGGAAGAATCGATCTGGGAGCAGCTAGGTGGCTCAGTGGGTAGACCTGAGTTCAAATCCAGCCTCAGACCAAACACTTGACACTTACTAGCTGTGTGACCCTGGGCAAGTCACTTAATCCCAACTGGCCTAAAAAAAAAAGCGATCTGCCAGGTGAGGAATTTTCAGCAAGCTACATGGAGAGCTGTAGAAATGTGAACAATAGGGTCCTTGGTCCCTTAACCCTTAGCATAGTAGGCTCAGGGCAGTCTGGTGATCGTAACAGCACAATTCACTATAAAAGATTGCCAATCTTTCGTTTTAGTGAGGGGACTTTGCTGGTGGAGGAAGAAGAGGGACATAGTTAAAACAGTATTAAAAGTGATCTACCAGATCTATGCCTGAAAACCATAGACTAGCCTGTTATAGCTATAATGGGACAAAATTACCTCAGTTCTGTTCGATTTCAGGTAATTGTCATAAATACCTTTTGGAATGGCCAATTCATGTATCAGAAGTCCACATCAAAGGATATCGTAGCCAAGCCCATGATCTAACAGGTGAGAAGCTTTCCCATTCAGAAGCAATTTATCACAGTAGGGAAACTGAGTCAGGAAGCTCCTGCCATTACCTTTGTAAGGTTCCCTACATGGACATCCATCTGGCTGGCTGTGATATTTGGGGACACACAGATAGTAATCTTTGTGACAGTGTCTTTCCTTTTAATGGTAAACTACTGGCTTAATGATATTTCAAACAATTTTACCTGGATTCCATGCTTGGAACAACACCAAATTAAAGTTACAGTGTCAAGAGGTTCCATGTCAGATAACAGATTCCACTGGTTACAGCTGAAGGGGATGGAGTGGTATAGTCATCTCTCAAATTTACAGTTAATGCCAGGAAGCTGACAATTAATGACAGTTACCGGTAACATTTATCTTCTGTGTCCATTAAGCTTAAACAATGTCTTTAAAAAACTTGCAATTTTATCTCCCTTATTTCTAATTAAACATATTCCAATATAAAATAATAATCCATCACTAGAAATTAACAAGATAATCAGATCCTAGGATTTTACACAGAAAGTGGATGTCTGATGGTTCACTCAAAGCCAGAGAGGCATTAGTTACATTTGACCTGGAAGGTCTGAGGTTCTGGTGAGACCCCTTCTTTAGCAAGCTGCAGGACTGTCTCTCTCCTTGATGAGTTGAAGTGGACAGTGAAGCCTTGGGATGAAAAACCTTTATGCATAGAAGCAACTGACAGACTTGTCATGCATAACTAGCTGGTACAATGGAGAGAGTGCGAGACCTTAAATCAGGGAAACCTTAGTTCAAATCCAGCCTCACATAATAACTAGCTCTGTCACTATAGGCAAGTTTCCTCTCTGCCTCAGTTTCCTCATATGTAAAATGTGGATCTCTCCTAAGGTTGTCATAGGGATAGAATGGGATATTTGTTAAGGGTTTTGTAAACCTTAAAGCGTTATAGAAATGTTATCTATTATTATGACTATTATTGTTATTACATGAGGGTCTGAAGATGGTCTAATGCTTCATTAAATTTCCCTATTTTTCAGCACTCTGGTAATAAGTAGGTGAGACAGAAGAACCCTGATGTTTGCCTATCAGTTTATTATTCACATCATCTCTACAGATTCCATGGTAACCAATAGTTAAATAGTTCACCCCATACTTCTATACTTTATAAACAAACCTTTTGTGTCATCCTTCTGAAAAACTGCCAAATTGTCATAGAGATACTATCCTTTTATTTGGCTGAGAACATGGGGAGCTGTGTGTTTTGGTAAAATAATTTCCTAACTGCTCTAGCCTTGGGATTCTTAACCTGGGGTCCACCAAACCCCAAGGGATCTGTGGATACATTTCAGGGGATCTTTGAACTTGAATGGGAAAAATGACATCGTTATGTCAATATGATTGGTTTCCTTTGTAATTCTGCGTATGTTATGCATTTCAGAACATGATCTGAGAAGGGATCCCTAGACTTCACCAGGCTGACTGCCAGAAGGGGTCCTCGGCACAAAAGAGCTTGAGGACCCTTGCTCTGGTCTCAGATTAGCATTCTCAAAGGACTGTCATGTTTTTGGATACACTCCTGAAACTTCCTGCCTTAGAGAACTAGCTGATTTGGTTTTATGCTCTAAGGCTCAGAATTTCCGTATCAAAATGCCAGTCATGAAGAAGGGTCAGTCAGACCACAGTTCAGGTGATGAGGCAAGTCATCTTTGCAGCTCGCACCAATCTGTTGACTTAGTCATGATTGTCTGGAGGTCATGAGCAGACCCTTCTCACATAGATGAGGCTTCTTTACTCTATTTAGAGATGCTACAACTGACAAATTTATTTAAAGCAATGCAACACTCCCAAATGAGGCAGATAATCTCCTTGAAGGCAAATCAGGAAAATCTATTTGAATATGGGAGAGTGGCCAGGTAGCCTTGGGTATAGACCAAGCATTTTAGTTGAGGTTTCCCAGAATTCTACTGCTGACAGTAGTATGAAGCAGCCACCAGTAAAAGTAATAATAGCACAACCATTAGGAGAATTAAAAAGGAAGTCATTGTACAGAGTCATTCCATCCTGGGTCATAGCTCCTTCTCTTTTTTAGATGTTTTTTTTCTTTTTCCCTAGGGCAGCATCCTGGAACAGGAAATAGGAGGGAAAGGAAGAAGGATGGCAGGGATATAAGAGACCCTGAGTGGTTACTCCTAAAAGATGATTAGATCAACCAGCTCATCCAAAGCAGGGTTCTGAGACACCAGAATGCTTCATAGCAATGGAACTCCCAGGAGGCATTAAAATAAATAACCACCCCTCCAAGGGATTCCTCAGAGGACTGGGTCATTAATTCATAACATGGACTTCAAAGCACTTTACCTATCTCATTTGATCCTCGCATCAACTCTGTGAGGGAGATTTTTATCCCTGTTTTGCAGATGGGGAAACTGAGAGTGAGAGAGATTAAGTGACTTGCCCAGGTTCTAGTAAGCATCTGAGGTGGGATTTGAACTCAGGTCTCCCTCACTCCAAGTCCAGCATTCCATTGCACCAATTAGCTATCTCTAATTAATCCCAATGAATTTTCTCTGTATTAAGGATCTGTTGTTGCCTCTCAGTAATAACATGAGCTATATAAAGTAATTGCAGGGCTGTAATTAGGAGTTAGATTCATTACGTCCCCAAAACAGTCAAGATTATATTAAAGAAGCAAAGACACAGCAGGGATATTAGAATGAGGCGATTTCAGATGAACTATTTCAGAATTAAAAATAGTGACCGCATTTAATTTACAGAGCAGGTCCCTTCCCATTAAATTGAAACCAGGAAATATAAGAGAGGAAGGAGGCACACTCAGTCTTAGGGGACCATTTGCATAGTAACTGAATGAGAAAAAATGCTAATGAGGCTCTCCCTCAATACCCACTGCCTTGGCCAAATCAGAGGTGATAGGAATATTGTGGCGATCAACAGAGGATAACATTTGGTCATCCCAGAATCAATTAAAAAGAATTCCAGACAGAGCAGCAGGAGTTCAGGGTTTGGGGATGGGTGTTGGTAGGGGAAAGATTAGATCATATGAGTGCCCCACATTCCATAATTGTTGTAATCTTGGATACTGGGATGAGTTACATTCAGATTTCCAATGGACCATTTGTTTCCAATAATAATGTTATCAATTATTCAGTGAGAAAGGTATCTTTTGAAGACTAGGACAATTCCAGGAAAGGATTTTCTCATTCTGAATTTGTCCTACCATTAGGTTAACCTGAGCAACAGACTTTCAGCCACTTGCTTACCATGGGGGTCCACTCTGACCATGATGTCATCGGTGGGTTTAGTTTCTCAGCACATAACTGCATTTTCTACTTCTTTGAGAAATAATCTTTTCCAGTCAATTGACCAATGTCTGGAATAACATGCGCTTAAATGCATTTCCTATGTCTGAAGGGACAGGATAATTCTGGAAATCTTCGCATAGTCTGTTATAATCATCAGAAGGGTTTTCCTCAGGTTTCAATTTACAGGCTGTAATTTGGTTCATATCAGTGTGTGGGGAGCAAACCCTAAGAATTACTTCAATAAGGAATGGGTAAGCATCCTAGAGGATTTGGTCATTCTGAATATTTGGCCAATTGGCAGATTGCACAAAGCTCATTGGACAGCAGACGTGACAGTAGTTGGTTAACATTAGCCCAAGTTGACTGGTAAACTGAAAAAAAAAATCTGCTCCGATTTATTTTTGCATTCACCTAGATTTTCACATAATTTAGGGAATTTATTAGACCAGGGCATAATGACAGATGATCAGAGCACATGGACCAAAGTAACACCATCCTTTTGAGGACTGGAATGTTGGTAGAGAGGCACTGAAATATTGAAGATGCTTCCACATTGGATGCAGCACAGGGAGCACCTTACAGTTTTCATCTCTAAGAGGTTAGTTTGCTTTCTTAAAAGTGTTTTGAAGAGGTACCCAGGAGTCATAATTCCATTTGATTACTTCCCAATTCTGGATTCTTCAGCAGTCAGGTTCACTTTAAACGGACCCTTTGGAGCCTGGACGATAATAAAGAATTCCCACCAGAGTCTTGTTGGGCAGCTGCCAGAGGAGCTGAAGTTATTGGGGACCCTAAGTTCAAAGTGGATCCAAGGTTCAAAGGATGTGTCCTAGCCAGAGCCAACATGGGGGAATAAACCGGTAAGGATAGGAGTCTCAGACACTCATAACAGTATCTGAGAATTTCATGATCAATGGATCCTTTTAAAGAAAGGATCTTTGTGCCAAGGATCCCTCTTTTGGGTAAAGAATAATGTTCTTCTCAGAATGTTTTTAAGTAATTGAAAGAAATGCCAATTTCCAACAGAGTTTAATGAAAATAAAGATGTGATTTTTTTTCCCATCCAAATTTATGGACACCCTGAAATCTATCCATAAACCCCATGGAGCCTAGGTTAACCATGGCCATTCTGTTTTTTCTTTTCTTTTGTTTTGTTTTTGTTTAGGCAATGGGGTTAAGTGACTTGCCCAGGGTCATGCAGCTAGTAAGTGTTATGTGTCTGAGGCCAGATTTGAACTCAGGTCCTCCCGAATCCAGGGCCAGTACTCTATCCACTCTGCCACCTAGCTACCCCCTACCACTGCCATTCTGAAGAAAACTCCAGTCGGTTATCTTAAGTAAAAACAAAAAGTGTAGCTTCTTCAGAAATCATGTGATATTGGGCCCATAATTAGTGTATCAAAAATTTGGAAAGGGTGAGCAGGAAGTTTTGGAGTCAGTTCCTTGCATTATTAAATCTTAGAAATTTTCCATGCGCCCCTCACAAATAAACAGGGATAAAATGTTAGCACCACCCAGCTGTTCCTGACAAATTCTGCTGGTTCTTGATCAATTCTAGTTGATCCTGACAGATTTCGGTTCATCTTGACAGATTCCAGTTGTTCCTAACAGATACTGGTTTACCTTGACAAATTCTGTTTGATTCAGACAGCTGGATCCAGTCGATCTTGACAGGCGACAGTTGTTCTGGACAGA